GCTAGCTAGTTCTGTCTGTCTATCTATCTGTCTGTCTGTCTGTCTGTCTATCTAATTATCTAATCTATCTAATTTCTATCTATATCTGTCTGTCTATCTATCTATCTATCTATCTATCTATCTATCTATCTATCTATCTATCTATTTATCTATCTAATCTGTCTATGTCTATCTCTGTCTATATCTATCTGTCTATCTAATTATCTAATCTATCTCTGTCTATATCTATATCTGTCTGTCTGTCTATCATCTAAGCAACTCACATTTTACAACCCTGTAATCCCTTAATTCGGGGTAGAGTTTGGGGCAACTAGAGCCAAGTGTTACTGGCCAGATGCCCTTCCTGACACCATGTGAAGTTCGCAACAGATATTTTTTCTTTGCGCCTTAGGAGAGAAACATCTGCCACTATCTAGGATTGAACTCTCAACCTTCTGAGTGGAAACAAGCATTTCCACCAGTAGGCTACCAAGTCATTCATCTGTCTGTCTGACAACCTACCTACCTATCTACCTTCCTACCTATTATCTGTCTACCCATCCATCCATCCGTGGATCCAGGAGTTGAATCCAAGAAGGATTTGGTTAAAGCTAGTGTCAATATGCTACAAAAAGAGGTGATGGAGTGATACATAAGAGGGTGCTGCAACCATCATAAATACATGTCAGTATTTATGTGTTGACACTATTAATGTGTCAACCCAAAAAAGATCTCTCTGGACCTGTTTTGTTATGAGAATCTCTTTCTTCTGAAGAACAAGGCTTCCAGGCTGTGGAGACAGATCAGGCATGAAAAGTTCGAGTTATAAGCAAAAGTTGCATGATGCGTTTGCTATGAAAAAAGCAAATGTTGTCTGGAGATTAAGAAAAGATCACACCAAATACATAACTGCTTTCGAAGAAATGTGTAGGCTTGCCTCCAGAGGTTGTGATGCTCCATCACTGAGGTTTTCAAGAAGAGACTGGACAGCCATTTGTCCAGAATGGCATAGAACATAGGCAGTCCTCAACTTACGACCACAACTGAGCCCAAAAATTGTGTTGTGAAGTGGGACATTTGTTAAGTAAGTTTTTCCCCATTTTATGACCTTTCTTGCCACAGTTGTTAAGTGAATTACTGGAGTTGATAAGTTAGTAACCCAATTGTTAAGTGAATTTGGCTTCCCCATTGACTTTGTAAGTCAGAAGGCCGCAAAACGTTATCACGTGACTCTGGGACGCAGCAACGGTCATCAATATGAACCAATTGCCAAGCCTCTGAATTTTGGTCACGTGACCATGGGGATGTTACTTAGGTCGTAACTGTGAAAAACAATAGTCACTTTTTTCAGTGCCATTGGAACTTTGAATGACTTAACTGTTGTTAAGTCAAGGACTACTTGTGTAGGGTTTCCTGCTTGCGCAGGGGGCTGGACTAGAAGACCTCCCAAGGTCCCTTCCAACCCTATGATTCTATGTTCTATGATTGCAGATGTATGATTAGCATAGTACCTTGCAAAAACCTTTTTTAATATCAATTATAATGATCTTCAGGTGAAGCTTAGCAACCCAAACAGGATTCTTAAGAGTTCATTAATCACTGTGTAAAACTAATCTAGAGAAGGGGTAACTGGTGCCATCTTAGAATTATCTTATTTCAAAATGACAGCAATGATTAGGAAGCGATAAGAACATCTGGCATCGATGCTGTCACCATGAAATGTTCCTGGCAACTTTAAAAGGATTATTAATTGTGACTCTCCCACAGGAGGGACTTCTGGTCGGTCCTGTCAATCCAAGATCAGCCTCGTCAAACACCAGACCGATTAAATTAATTAGTCACCCAGAGGAATGCTGGAAGCCTAGATGCATCTTAGCAGGACAGATGCCAACAATTAATGTATCATCCCAAAAAAAGATCTCTCGGGACTAGTTTTGTTGTGAGAATTTCTTTCTCCCACAGAACAAGACTTTTAAGCTGTGGAGATAGACCAGGCATGAGAACTTGGAGCTTTAAGCAATAGTTTCATGATATGGTGCTCCAAGCAGCAACTGCTATGAAAAAGCAAATGACCCCTACATGAACCCATAGGAATCTGGCAACAGCCATTAAAATATTAAAGGACATATTTGTCTGAAATGGTATAGGGTTTCCTGCCCAAACAGGGGGTTGGACTAGATGACCTCCAAGGTCCCTTCCAACTTTATTATTACTATTATTATTAATCATTGCACTGTCAGCCAGATGTTCAGACTGTTCATGACTGCAGGACAAAGTCAAGGGGGATCCAGATTCACTTACTTAACAATTGCAGTGACTCACTTAACAACTATGGCAAGAAAGGTCATAACATGGGGCAAAAATTAACTTTTCTCAGTGACAGAAATGTTAGATTCAATTATGGTCATAAATCAAGGACTACCTGTGATACCTCTTTGACGGTTGTGCTGATCACACAAATTCAAGCTTTATGACTTGGGGAGATGGGTGACTTCTCTCATTGTCCCCGGCACAGGATAAAAACTCCAGTGAATTCTGAAAAATTCAGGTTTTATTCCAAATCACATATGAATTGGAAAATTAATAAAACTTGGGCTGAGCTTGGATTCTATTCCCATGCAGAAAGGCTCATCTTCCCCCATAAGAATGTCACTATTTAAAACATTCTGTGAACAGAAAGTATATTGAAAAAAAAAAAACTGTAGCACTTAGCATAACTCAGTACGGCTTTGCCGAAAACATAACTTGCCAGATGAATCTTATCTCAGTTTTTCCTTCAATAATTTCCTTAAGTGAAGTTTGGAGAAGAATGCCATAAGGACCAGTTCTAGATCCTCTGTTCTTTAATAGTTTCAATTAAATTTCAGTGAAGAGGCAGAGGGACTGCTTATTAAATTTGCAATTGATTAAAATTACAATTTGCAATTGATGGGGCGAGAGAGTGAACATGCTAGAAGAAAGACTGTGGCAAATCAGTCTTGAAAGTAACAGAATGAAAATTAATACAGAGCAATGCGAAGTTCTTTGCTTACAAAGAGTTCCATTTGGAAAACCTGTGGCTATAGAAATGTGTTTAAAAACTAAATAATAAAACCAAACACGGGTGCGTAGATACCTGGCGTGGCAATAGTACCTGGGAAAACGATCTTGGAATAGTAAATGGATGAGCCACAAAAGGCAAATACAGTTTTAGACTGCATCAATGAAGAATAATTTACAAGATGTGAAAGTAACCATTTCATGATATTTTGTACTGGTTTGGCCCCATCTTGACTGAGCAACACATTGCAGTTCAGAGAAATAGGAGCAGGTTAGAAACGACAGGGGCGCAATGGCTCAGCAGTTAAAGACCCTGAGCTTGTCAGCTGGAAAACTGACATCCAGGATTCGAGATCTGAGCACCGCACAACGGGGTGAGCTCCCGTTTCTTGCTCCAGCTCCTGCCCACTGAGCAGTTGGAAAGTATGCAAATGCAAGTAGATAAATAGGTACCACTTTGGTGGGAAAGCAACAGCCTTCTGTGCGCCTCGGTGTTTAGCCGTGCTGGCCACATGACCATGGAAATGTCTTCAGACAACATTGACTCCTTGACAGATGGGCACTTCCCCTTGCAGCTGGACATTATTGGAGAGGGGGAATCTTTTACCTTTATAAATCAAGGAATTAGAAACCAAGATTTGGGAAGAGAGATTGCAAGAGCCGATACATTCATCCTTGAAAAATGACTGCAGGTGAAAGGTTGCATGCTTTAATTACCATCTCACATAGAAAGTCAAGACCTATTCTTTTCTTACTCAAGAATGCAGGATAATAAATTAGATTTTAAGTTTTTAGGAAGGCAGATTTAGAATTGAATGTTAGAAAGAATTTTCCAGTGGGAAGGGCACCTCGACAATAGAATCAGTGTCTCAGCAAGATCACAGCATGCATAAAATAGGGGAGGGTAAACAGCCAGCCTGGAAAGCTTTAATTTAATGGATTCCTGTATTAAGCAGGAGTTGAACTCAGTGACTTTATATGGTTCTAAGATCTGATGGGGATATGCTCTGAATCCTTCAAATTTCAGCTGGCAATAAGAACAAGTGTATTGTGCACATTAGGATGCAGGAAGCAATGACTCGGGACAAGTAAATAGATGCCCAGAGGTTTGATTCCAGAATAAGGAAACTAATATGCCAGCAACAAATGGAATTAAGCTTATTAAGTTAAAAGTAGACTATTATAACTAGTCCTCAACCTACAACTGTAATGGAGCTTGGAATTACAGTTGTAGGTCATTACGGCCATTAAGTGGGTCACCGGTAACCTTTTACAGCCTTTATCTAGTTGGTGTTTTTTGCTGGAACATAAACATAAACGCTGGAAACCAGCAAAAAAAAAATCATTGTCACATGACTATAGGATGCTCCAAATGGCTGTAAATGCAAGCCAGTTGCCAAGCACTCAAAATGTGAGCCTATGACTATGTGCATGTGTCTTTGTCTGTGTGAGTGTGTTACAGCTGTCAGAATTTCAGGCTCCAAAACCCAGTTTCATTTATTGTTCCACACAGAATCTAGCCGAACTAAATAAGACGATTTGTACCATAAAGCAGAGGTCCCCAGCCTTTTTGGCACCAGGGACCGGTTCCGTGGAGAGACGTTTTTCCGCGGACCGGAGGGCGTGTGGTTTTGTGTGCTGCCTGCCTCTCACGGATGGAGCTTTGCTTGTTTGTGCGGACCGGTTGCTGGCATGCCACAGTCCGGAACTGATCCATGGACCATGGGTTGGGGACCCCTGCCATAAAGCATATACTCTGGGAACTCTTAGGGAGAAGCTGTCTTCACCCACTTTCTCCCATGCAGACTGAGCTTCCTGTTGCTCCTCTCTCCCTTCTGGGAATCCAGACTATATTCCACCACAGCTGTTAGCCTTTCAAGCCAACGAAGGGAAGGAAAAGGATGGGCTCAATGTTAATTTTTATTTTATTTTTATTTTTTTTGCATTAATGAGTTTGGTGATTCTCTCCTTGGTCTCCCCAGGAAAACAGTTGGCGTTTTTTGCTGCGGCCCTCGTGGAATCTCCAAAGCTGTACACCAACAAAGCAATAAGCACAATCCTTACGGGACAAGGTTTGAATACAACAAAGAGTCATTTAGCTGAGAGCATCGGGGGCTTTCCAAGGACTGCTTGAAGATTTGAGTGCAATTTTTTTTTTGTTTAAAAAAAGAAAAAAAATCAACAGCTTTACTTTGACCACTTGTAACAAAGCCTGTCTTTTCTTTCCTTCCTTGCTTTTTCCTTTTCCTGATAATTTATGACTATTTAAATCTGAAAAGCATAAAAAAAATGAAATACACTCCTTCTGGATATGTAAAAAAAAAAAGAAAGAAAGAAAGCCAAGCTATTACAGGCGTTGGCAATCTGCCCAAATTACACAAAGGCAATTAGAGAGGGAGACTGACTTCTTTGGCTGCTTTTTCAGAACAATCTCTGAGACTTTTGAACTTTCCTCAAACCCCAGGAAATAACATTGCTTGATTGGATAGGGGAGTATGTAGTGGAAGTAAAATAATAATAAAATTCTTCCCTGTGCTGGCAGACGAATAAAGCAAACTTGAAAATGAAGGCAAAACGGCTACAGATTCAATAGGAGAAAATAAAGAACTTCCAATATCCTCTGTCAAATTCAGACACTTGCCAACTGGCTCGTATTTAGGATGGTTGCAGAGTGCCAGAGTCATGTGATCACCTTTTGCGACCTGACAAAGACGCTGCAACCCACTGTAAATGCATAGCCGAATTTTGATCACATGGCTGTCGGGATGCTACGTTTGCAAATGTGACAGCCAGTCGTATGTCACTTTTTTCAATGCCGTTGTGGCTTCATATGGTCACTAAATGATTGGTCATGCATCAAAGACTATCTTATGACCCAGGTGGTCAAAGCAAGGTAGGCTTCTAGAGCAGCAGCCCCCGCCCTTTTTGGCACCAGGGACTGGTTCCATGTTTTTCCACGGACCGGAGGGAGCGTGGTTTTGCATCCTGCCCACATCCCATGGATGGGGCTTCGCTTCTTTGTGCTGCCCGGTTTCTGGCATGCTGCAGCCTGGTGCCAGTCCACAGACTGGAGGTTGGGGACCCTGCTCTATAGAGTTCTTTATTACCCTCATAAATGTTCCAGCCATTCCCCCTTCAACAACCAATAAGGCTCCACCCCCATGTAACCCTGAAGGCAGCCATCCTCAGTTCCCCAAACAACATCCTCTATATTACAAATAAAGCCACAGAGTAGGAGTGTTCTCTTCCAGCCTACATGAGTCCTTGTTAAGCTCACAGGGAGAAACCCTTCTTCCAACAAGCAGGCTGGAACCGCAGGAAAAAAACCAATCCCCTTTTATTATTCACAAACCAAAGGCAAACAAGTTCACTGAAACTTGATTCCTCAACAGAAACGGTTGCCTTCAGCAACCAGCACCTCCCACACCTTCCCTTTTATTATGCAGCCAAGGTGTGGCTTTCTAATGCCTTCTCCTTTGCCTTTGGAGCCGCCCCATTGCATTCCTCTGTCCTACTCTCTTTGCTTGCCAGCGTTTACGGGCATCCTGGATATCTCCCAGCTGTGAGTTATCACTGTCCAACTCAGACTCCCAGCACAGCTGCATCTCAGCCTGAGCACAAGTGGAGGGGCCAGGCATCTCGTCAGACTGTAAGTCTTGGAGCTCCTCAGAGCCGTCCTCTGACTCTGATATCCCTCCAGGCCCCTCCTCCCCCTCCTTCAATTTCCCAGATTCAGCTGCTGGGTCCCCTGGCTGACGAGGAATCACAACAAGGAGCATGCTCACAGGGCAAGATCCAGGGCTCCGAGTCCAGCCCACCTGGCTGAGCAAGTCCACAAGATAAAGTCCAGGCACAAGACAAATGGCAGTCCTCAGGGCAGAGACAAGGTACAAGGCAAAAGGCAGTTCTAAAGGCGAAGCAAAGGGCCAAAAACAGTCCACAAGATAAGGGTGAGGTCCAAGACAAAAGCAGTCCTCAAGGCTAGGCAAAGCAAAAGGCGAAAAGCAGTCTTCAAAGCAAGGCAAGGCCAACGGCAACAGGCACGAGTCAAAGCGATGAGACTGTAAACCAAAGCAAGCAATTGTTCCTGGAAAAGACTTAACTCCCCACAACTTCTCCTTAAGTCAATCCATTCCAGGTGTTCCTTGTAAGGAGGGGTGGGATGACCTCTTGAGTAGCCTTGCAGCTCTTCTCTGGGCTTGGCTACACTCCACTCTCAGTGCCCTTGGATCGAGTGGAGGAGGCAGCTGTTCCTCATCAGAGGGGATCTGCTGCCTATCAGCACCACTGCCTGTCAGCAGCCGATCCTCCCCTGTGTCTGTGAAGGCAGACAGCTCTCCGTCCGGTTGACCGCCTCCCCCAATGCTTGAGGGGCCTGGGACAGCCTCAGCCCCTGGCCTCTCCCAACATGCCAATAGAGACGTGCCATCCCTGATGGACGGTCCTGGTTCCAACTCCTCCTCCGAACCGTGCTCCGATGGGGCCATGGCATACCTGTATTGTAGAACTAGGAGTGGGAGACTCAGATTCATTTCACTGCTCAGCCTTGGAAGTTCCCTGGGTGACCCAGTCATTCTCTCTCTCTCTCTCTCAGCCCAATCTCCTTCATAGGACGGAGGTGGGGAAGACTCAGAGGAAGACTCAGAACTGAAGAAGCTTCTTGGATGAGAAGTGAGATGTTTTCAAGGGGAAAAAAAACGAAGAAAGTCAGTTGCCTTTTGGAAAAGCACTTTGGGATGACTGAGAATCTCCATAACCAGCTTGGCTGGCTCAGGAATTCTATATTTGAAGTCCACGAGTCATAAAAGAACTAAGGTTTGCCTACCCCTGCCCTAGACACTCGGAGGGAAGAGGGAATGCCTTGAGCTTCTGAATGAAAAAATGGATGCGCATATTATGAATGAATAAATAGGGCAATGAAATATACCCATATTTAAAACAAAGACAAGACAGCTAGGAGGTAGAAGGGAGACAGTTTGCAAGAATATTACAAGACTCTGTGGCATCCCTTCTTTGAGTCCAGCCTAACTTTATCAAGCGCAGCCTCTTCATATCCAACCTCACAACCTTTCGAAATAATCCATTCTCCAATCCCTTAACCTAATGCCTAAAATCCCCTCTCAGGAAGTATCCTGGGGCTAAGCCAATTAGTCCTACTTCAGTTCCAAGTAGAGATTCAAGGTCAGTCTGATTCACTTTGAGCAGCTTTCGAGATGGAATTTTGAAAGAAAATATCTGTCCATAAGGCATCTTCAAGTTTATCATTGGGGGAGGGGGTGGCAAAATGAACTGAAAATACAGGTAACCCTCACCTTATGACCACAATCAAGCCCAGAATTTCTGCTGCTAAGCAAGACAGGTGAGTTTTGCCCCATGTTATGACCTTTCTGGCCACCGTTGTTAAGTGAATCACTGCAGTTGTTAAGTTAGCTACACGGTTGTTAAATGAATCTGGCTTCCCCATTGACTTTGCTTGTCAGAAAGTCACAAAAGGTGACCACACGAGCCCAGGACAATCGTCATAAATATGAGCCAGCTGCCAAGTGTTCTGAATTTTGATCACATGACCATGGGGATGCTGCAGCCATCTTAAGTGTGAAAAACTGTCAGAAGGCATTTTTTTTTCTGTGCCACTGTAACTTGGAACAGTCACTAAATTTATATATATATAATATATATAAAACAGTGAGTCCTTTACGGTGTGGCCTGGTAGAAGAGTTATATATTGATGTTGCTCAAAACCAGGGTGTATACAGAGAACACAGTAGGAAAAATAGATGCATTAGCTCAGGAAATAGCAGGTGTTAGCCAAGGGACGGGGATCGGTGTAGTGGTCAGTGAAAACCTGATTGGGATCACCAAGGGAGTAAGCAGGGAGTAATTATATTTCTGCATTCTTGCTGTCAAAGGAATAGTAAACTCAATCTTGAGCCTCAAATCTACACCTTTTGCTTGATAACTTGTATGATGTCAGGAGAGGAGAGGAGAGGGTGAGAGGTGATGGAGTTGCAGCTAAGTAGTGTCATTGTACATTCGTCACACGGCAGAGGAATTCAGGAATTAGAATAACAGAGAACTACAGTTAAATATTGACAGGTGCACTGAAGCTGAAAGCCAGGAGACTTAGCAAATTTGAGGTTTCTCCCTAACTCTCCTTGGGTGGAACTTTCTAATTTCAGCCCAGCATTTCTAACAAACTCTAATCTATCTGACAAAGGGATCCGCTGTATACAGGTAGTCCTCAACTTATGACCACAATGGAGCCCCAAATTTCTGTTGTTAAGTGAAAACACTTGTTAAGTGGTTTTTGCTCCATTTTACGCCTTTTCTTACCACAGTTGTTAAGTGAATCATTGCAGTTGTTGGGTTAGTAACACCGTTGTTAAGTGAATCTGGCTTCCCCCATTGGTTTTTCCTTGTCAGAAGATCGTAAAAGGGGATCACGTGACCCCTGGACACAGCAACCGTCATAAATATGAACCAGTTGCCAAGCGTCTGAATTTTGATGACACGATTAAGGAGATGCTGCATTGGTCCTAGGTGTGAAAAACGATCCTTTTTTTTTAGTGCCACTGTAACTTTGAACGGTCACTAAATGAACTGTTGTAAGTCGAGGACTACCTGTACACACTTAGCGCCTATTCCTTGGGTGATTAAATTTGTAAAGCTGCAAATAGGATTCCATTTAACCAATAAAAGAGAATATTTGTAGCTTGGGGGGTGTTGTAATGTGGGGTCCTGGGTGGTCTCCGAGCTTGCTTATTTCCTTGCCGACTTTTCGTCACCCCAACTAGGTAACCTCATCCGTGCTAGTGACAATGATGCACTGATCACTTTGTGCCTAGCATTGACAAATGTCACCTACTTTGGGTGATGAAACATCTGCAAGAAAACAAGCAAGCTCAGAGGACACCAAGGACCCTCCCCCCCGATTCCATTTAACATTTGGGGGGATGGAGGTGGGGAACTCAGTAGCTTCGGTGGATGAAACAATGATGAAAAAAGGACAAACCTATTTTATTTTATTATTACTATTATATTTATTATTTATTGATAATTTGAAGAGATTCCAGAGTATTCTATATAATTCAAACTTTGTTAAGCCTTCTGTGACTTGTTGTTCGTCCATCGATTTCCATGAAGACCTTGATATCTTGTGGGTTATGGGCCATCAATAATGTGTCCGTAGGTGGCTAATAAGACCAATGTTAGCACGGAATGTTCTGCCACATACTGAACAAAGAAATGTAGACACTGTTACTTCAGCATTTGCAGCTCTGGCTTTGCGGAGTGCTCGCTTTTCTTGTGCCAAGATTGTCCTTCTGTGTTCATATGTCTAGCAACCCTGGTACACCAAGGTGCGCCATGTCGGTCGATCATGCGCCAGAAGTTCCCAAGAGATGGTGTTAATATCCAGGGACTTAAGAGAGGCTTTCAACGTGTCTTTGTATCGCTTCTTTTGTCCCCCGTGCAATCGCTTTCCTTGAGACAGCTCACCATAGAAGAGCTGTTTAGGGATGCGATGATCTGGCATCCTTACAACATGGCCCGCCCAGCGCATCTGGGCTTTCATCAACAGAGTGTAAACTGATGATAGGCCTGCTCTGGAGAGGACATCTGTGTCTGGTATCTTATCCTGCCACCGGATCCTTAAAGGACTTAAGGAGACCTCTCATGTATGTCCTGCCTCAAAATGGTGAAAATGGTGAAAAATTATGTCTCCTAATGTTCATCAATACTTGTCATTTGGGGATCCAAGAAAGATCCTGGAAGCCACTTGCAAACATCCGGTGATGGCTATGAGATCTAAGGTCAGAACAGACAGGAGGACCATGAATCCAGGAGGATCCATTACAACAGGGGGGGGCAATTATGTTTTCCAAGGGCCACATGAAAAACCCAAGACTGTTGTGGAGGGCCACCATCACTGCTGTGTCCCCCCCCCCCACTGACCGTATGGGCCAGACAGGGATAGCCAAAGGACCGGATGTAGCCAGTGGGCTGTAAAATGTCCAAGTGTGCATTAAATTACGGTAACAATGCCCAGACGTCAATCTCTTTTCCCATCAAGAAAAGACCAGCTTTCCATCAATTACAGTGCATTGGTGGGAATAACAA